ATCACGTACAAAACAATCCGCGACCTCTTCCGCGAGGTACAGACCAGGTTCCCCGACAAATATCTGCACATCGGCGGGGACGAGGTCAAGATGGACTGCTGGTAAACTAATTTTATACTATTAGAATTAATACTAAATTTTAGTAATATTTAATTTCTAGCTAAACCATACCGATACTTCTTAAATAGTTGGTGATAAGGTAGAATAATAATAGGACTATAGATGTGAGAACTTACATTATTAAGAGCATCATCTGATTGTAGTGGATCACCTAGTACGTTAGAACTGATTTTTCACTATCCACAGGAAGTCGAACCCAGAGATCCGCAAATACATGAAAGAGAAAGACTTCAATGTGGACAAGCTGCACGCTCTGTTTATACAGAACATCATACCGCTGCTCGCTGATGGATCCAAGATCATCGTCTGGCAGGTATGATATAAACCACCACCAATGGATATGAACGGAATGACATAAAGCCATAAAAAACGAACACAAGACCAGTGATTTGTCGATGATGAAACTGGTGATATGCTCCTTACTTGTTAACCAAATCTAAATTCAGTCAAAGTTTGAGTAAAATCACATTTAAATCTTAGTCTCACTAAGAAACGACTAAATGACCTCTATTAAATGTACAGGATCTTGATAAGTACTTGCTTCGTTCCGAATTAAACGCGTCTGTTAACGTTTCCGATAGATTATTCTATCTCTTTTATCCTAAAATAAAGAAAATCCTTCGTTTATCCTATTATAGAATCCTCACTACCCGTTCCATACCAACTGTTGCTGTCAGAGCCAAAATGGATAAAATAATCACGTATTTAAGCATTCAGCGTTTAAGTTATAATTCAATGAGTCCGTAGATTTCCTATAGCTGCAACCGAAAAGACAAGTTTAAAATGTGTCAAATTGAAATTTTGTGTTCTTCAGGATGTGTTTGATAAGAATATACCCTTGCCAAATGACACACTCGTGCAAGTTTGGAAGGAATTTTGGGCCGAAGAAATGGTGAAGGTAATGTCATTAGAAACTAATTCGTAATGTCTTTAAATAGTCATAATTTCCAAGTATCAAGTATATATTGCAAAATTTAATTCACTACGAACCATGTATTTATATTTGTGTTGGCGCACAGGTACTGCAAGCTGGCCATCGCTTGCTCTTCTCATCTGGTTGGTACCTGACCTGTCCAAGAAATCAGTGGTGGGAGTTGTACATGGTGGACCCGCGACACACAGTGCGTGAAGCGACCGGCAGCGACACCCTGCTCGCCGGCGTGATCGGCGGCGAGGCCTGCATGTGGGGGGAGATGGTCGATGACAGGAACGTTATATCGAGGTGCCTTAACTTGCTTGTAGGGTACGATTTAAAGGTGAAATATTTAATTCTAAACGTTTTTTGTTTACTAAAAATCATCATTGCAGAGTGTGGCCGCGCGCGAGCGCTGTGGCGGAGCGGCTGTGGATCGCGCCCTCGGCGAACCTCGGCGTCAGCATCAACTCCAGTTCGCTTCCGCCCATCGAGGCCTACCGTCGCATGGAGGAGCACGTGTGTCGCATGAACAGGAGGGGCATTGCTGCTCAACCAGCCAACGGCCCGGGCTTTTGTCTCTTTTAAAACTAAAATAGATGTAAAATCGTTGTACTTTTCCTGTATTCCTGGTCATGTACACTTGGCAATGAAACATTCTTATGTTCTATCGCGCAGAATCCATTTTGAACGCTTGGAAAACAGTATAAGAGTCAAATTGAAGCATTAATACTCTCGTATTAAAATAACGCCAATACAGAGTGTTAAAATGCGCTCATTCAAATAAGGTATAAAGTTCAGCTTATCGCAATCGGTGTATCAAACATTTGGAGATATTTTGATTATTTGTAAATATGGTAATAATTCTATCCATTTAATTAGAATTCAGTTCTTTTAGACATTTTTTTTCAATTTTGATCGTTATTTAAAACACCTTATACGCGAGGTCCCTCGAAGCGTGACGATAAGATCTGATTTAAACTTTACGATACCCAAACAACAATCAATGTTAAAAGTCAAAACTGTAGGTGCCAATTTTATATAAACAGTGCAGTGCATAAATTAGTACTAGCGGGGAATCTAGTGGTGTTCTTCTAGTTACAGTCGTTTCAATGCTTTATCTATTTCTATCTTTTTATTTTTATCCCTTCGTTTGCGAAACTCATTACAACCTAATTGGTTATTTGTATGGAGTTTCGTTACGAAAAACAAGATATTTTTATGTAAGTGAAACATCGCAGAAACCTGTGACAATGAAGTTAAATATTTAATTAAGCTAACATTAATGTTTTATATTTTGTCTTGTATTCTTGTCTAGACAATAAATGTGTTGTTTTTAGTCTTCTGCCTTATTTCAAATTTCTCCACCGATTTCCTAAAGAAAATATTTGTTGTGATCCCATAATTTTTCTGATATTAACAAAAAATTACAATATTAAATTCCACTTTACCTGATTTGTTATTTGATAATTTTTGATGTTTTTTAATGCAGAATATTTGCAAAAGCAAAGTTTTTATGGTTATTGTTAAACTAAAATAAATAATAGCATTAAAATGGCTGAAATCAAATAGGCAGAAATTTTGGCTTTATAGCCTTCCATTTGTGGAGGGTAGTGTTTCCACTATACAAAAATTCGTCCTCAACCGGTAACTATTGTACCGTTTTTTACAGGCCTTCCCTAGCCGTCACTATATTGAACATATTTATTATCTGTACTGTAACGATTGGTAAACAATTTTTGTTTGAATACATGTGCACGTCGTGTCCATAATCTTTACCGTATATCTTTTTTAAAATAAGCGATATGCGACTCGTTTTCTAAAAAAATAAAAATTAATAATGTCGGGGTATCTAGAAGTGAAGTACCCCTTCAAATCAAACCTTGGCCTAAATCCTTTCAAGGTAAGTTCTGTTTCGAAAACGAAAACTTGAGATTGTAATTTTATTAAATACTTACTGTTGGGTTTGTTAGTCATGGAAGAAACAATGGTGTATACTTCGGCCAAGTGCAACTTGTGGTGGTGGGTCCCTGGCGGTATATTGCAGCGAGGCAGGAGCTCCCGCGGGCACAGTAGATCTGCCCTCGGGTTGTATTGTGAAGCGGGCGAAGTCTCGCACTCGCCCCCATGCGTTTGCCGTGTTCTCCATTGAGGAGCCCTGCAAACCTCGTGTACTGCTCGCAGCGACGTCACACCATGATGCTCAACACTGGATGGATAAGATTCGGAACTTATTAAATACTGAAAATTTGATAGGTGAGTTTATGTCACTACCTTCATCCACGCAATGTTTAAGGTTTTTGATATGTTTGAAGACTGGACAGTTTTCTTTACCTTTAATTTTATGGATACAAATATAATAAATTAGATAAGTAATTACAATCTATGCATGTTAAATTCAGTTTTAAGTATATACACATTCACAAATTATTTTGTATATATTTTCACTCATCTACAAATTATTTTTTAAAATGGGGATAACAAGTGCTTAAACAATTCAATTTATGTTTATTTATTTGCTTTAAAAAAACCTGATTTTTTTTTTTATGTTATATCTAAATTATTTAAATGTTGTTTAGTATAAAAGTGTAATTTTGCATAAGTTACACCTTAGGTCTGTTCAGTAAAAACTATCAGCAAGATAAGATTGTCCAGTGTGAATTAAAAAGATTTGTAATAGCTAAAAAAAATCATCCACTTGGGCTTATCCCTTATGGAGGGTCGACAGTATGTGCTGCTCATCCATACATCTCTATCAGCTGTCATATCTGAGTCAAATAGTTAAGAAAATAGAAGCCAAATAAATTGTTAGGCTTTCTGTACATATAAGGGGTATAAAGGAAAATGTAGTTCAGTCCATTTTTTTTAACTAAGCATTCTAAAATTTAGCTTATTACACATATAATATTTTAGTATGACTAGTTTAAAAAATAAAAAATTACGACGAAAGTATATTTGCCATTAATTTTTTTAGACATAAAGTAATTTTCTTATATTTCCAACTATGCTTGATGAAGTTATAGAAAAAGTAAACTTGATAAATAAATTGTTTACTGAGTACTTTAGTCATCTATATAACAGGTGATTTTCATGTTTATTTTTAATTTATATAAGTTAATAATAATGTTATTTTTATAACTGACACAGATGTATATTTGCAAACAGACGTCAATGAAGGGCATTTCCAGTGACCCGTTGAGTCAGTGCCATTGTAAATTATTCAAACTGAAATGTTTAAATTATTACTCGCAGTTATAAATAAGACATCGTAAAGATGTTTGGGTTATCCATATTTTTCTAAGACAAATAGTGGATTATTGTTTATGTACTAATTTAATATATTATGGTTTGGAACAAAAAAATCAATAAGCAAACATCAAGTAGTGCCGCCAGCCATACAATGATCTTTTAGGTCTAAAAGAGGTCCGCTACCATTAAAACATAATCTTACTAGCTTTTGCATGGGTCTAAATTTATGCCAAATTATATCCAGATATGTTAAGTTATTTAGGCTACAAACCCTAAGAAACATCCTAAACTTTCGCATTTATTATATAAGTAAGATTAGATGACAGTTTTATAACTATTTTATTATCTCGGGGTGAGGGAAGCTGCATTCTTCTACCTGGTAATAGCCATGCTATAGCCAAGATATATAGGAAAAAAAAATATTTTTTCAAATGGTATTACAATGTTGATTCTTCTATATCATGATAATAATAACTATTGAATAGTTTAACCAATTGACAGCAGATAGGATTTATT